AAATTTTTTTTATATTTTCATAGATACACTACTGGAGGAAAAATCACAGGAATTTCTCGTATGCATTATTTATTTTTTTCGAATGTTTATAACTTGTATATGCTCATCACTCGATTATTAATTACTCAATTATTACTCATAAGATTTGCACGTTAGCGGGACAGGAGGTGAGAGATAGATATAGTGTATAATATTATATAATATTTTATTTTATTAATTTATACTTATTGTTACTTATTGTTTAAATAAAATATAAATAAATATAGGTGAATCAAAATACGGAGTGATAAGTCAATTCCCTGTAATAGATTCACCTGAAGATCCACTTAATTTCAATAATATCAATTCAGAACGTTCATTTGAACATTTTGAAGTTGGTTATGCAAAATTTGGATTAAAACGTTATAATATTACAGTTGAACTAGCGGCTAGTAAAAGAGCAGGTCTTCATCGATACACTTTTCCTCCAACAAAAAATAATGTTAAAATTCTTATTGATTTACCTCATAATCTTAATGTGCCTTCCTATGCGTATGTTATATTATCAAATTGTTTTTTTTTTTAAATAAAATTCTTACCTAATTGTTAATAATGTTAGTTTATACATTCATTTAGTTATACTCATCAGTATCTCGGCGGGGCAATACAATCTATTTCATTTAATCAAGTAAAAGGTGCAGGTCGCTATAGCGGAGGTTGGAATCAAGGAGGTCCCTATATAGTTTATTTCTGTTCTCAATTTAACGTTGATGCTATAGAATTTGCGACCTGGACGGGCGATAATCCTTATTATCAAGGTCAAATTTATTTTGACGGAAATACATATTTTGGTAAAATTAATGGAGCTATTTTAACATTTAATGCTACCGAAAATCCGGTAATCACATCAAGAGTTGGAATTTCATTTATTTCGGCTAATCAAGCTTGTGTAAATGCTGAAAGTGAAATACCGGATTGGAATTTTGAAAAGACTAGACAAGAAACTGTAAATGCTTGGCAGACAGAATTAGAAAAGATATATGTTGAGGGAGGAACTGATGAGTTTAAAACCATTTTTTATAGTAGCTTATACAGAACCATGATTATGCCTAGTGATAGGTATGTATTTTATCATTTTATTATTATTATTTTTATATAATTACTTTGCTAAATTTATGTTAATAGAACTGGTGAGAATCCAAAATGGAGGTCATTTGATAAAAATGGTGATTTAATACCACATTATGGAGATTTCTACGCTATAGTAAGTTATTTATTATCACTGCTAAACTAAGATTGGCTGAAGATTGACTAAAGCTAAGATTAGCTAAAGCTAAAATTGGATGAAGTTAAGATTGATTAAGTTGAAATTAACTAAAGCTAGCTTATGCTGAGGTTGAATAAAGCTAAGATTAGTTGAACTAAGATTTGCTGAAGCTAAAATTTTAAAAATCTTTGGGTACACTTTTTTCAAAGTTATGTTAGGAATTAAGGTTAGATTTGTTTGATAAAGAATATAAATAGGTTTTGAATTTCAACTTCAGTCAATCACAGTTTCACCACGACATTTATTTTACAAAATCTGAAAAAAAATGCTAATTAAATTTAATCAAATTAATAAAATTAATAGTGGGACACATTTAGGTAAATTTCATGAATTAAATATATAAATATTGTAATATATGACAGTAAGATATTTATGATTGTAAATATAGAACGACAAATCCATTATTTACACTTTTTCAACAAAAACGAGCTGTAGACATTGTTAGATCACTAATTGATATATATCAAAATGAAGGATACATGCCCGATGGAAGAAGTGGATTGGCGAATGGGATTACACAAGGTGGATCTAATGGCGATATGCTCGTGGTAAGGTTTAATTATATTAACCTTTTTTCTAAATAATATAACATCCTACTTTATTTTATTTGTATTATTATTATTATTATAATAGGTTGAAACATACTTAAAAAAGTTAGGCATGGACATAATAGACTGGGATCTTGCTTATGAAGCTTTAATAAAGGACGCAGAAGTTGATCCAGTTCCAGAGAATCGCGGTCTATTCGAGGGCCGATTTTTATTATCGTATTATAAAAGTTTAGGCTATATACCTATCCTAGATGAGTATAAATATATGTATGGTTTTAGCCCTTGCAGTAGAACCATAGAGTATTCTGCCAATGATTATAGTATTAGTCTTATTGCTAAAGGTAAAAATAAATAAAATTGGAGTAAAGTTTATTTATTGAATAATTTTAATTTTATACGTAATTTATTGTGTTTTTTTTTAGAGTTGGGTAAACATGATGACTATATTAAGTACATAAAACGAGCAAGTTATTGGGAGAATCTGTGGAATCCCAATATAACTTTTAATGGTAAATATGATGAATTTTTTATTTTATGTATTAAATACATTAGACTTATTAGATTTAATGTCATTGATAAAAGGTGCGAAAGGATTTATGATGCCAAGGTATAAAAACGGTACATATCAGAAATTGGATATTTTAGGAGAAGATGGTGTTCGTTATGCATTTTATGAGGCTACTCCATGGGAATATAGTTTAGATATACCTTTTGGTATGTACAGTACATATCTAAAACTTTAAGTATTATGCTTTTATAATTATTCAAAATATTCTATCATGTTATTATTAACTATTCACCATTATTATTTAAAAATAAATAATGCATACGAGAAATTCCTGTGATTTTTCCTCCAGTAGTGTATCTATGAAAATATAAAAAAAATTT